GCTGCTTCTTCGTGGTCATGTGATCAAAATTCTGACCCTTGGCAACTGACTCATATTTGTGACGGTCACAGTGTCCCAAAGTTATGTGATCCCCTTTTGCGACCCTCTGACAGGCAAAGTCAATGGTGCAGCGAGGTTCAATTAACAACCACGTTACTACCTTAACAATTGCAGCGATCCACCTAACAACCGCGGCAGGGAAAGTCGTAAAATGGGACAAAACTCATTTAACAACTGTCTTCGCTTAGCAACAGAAATTTTGGGCTCAATGGTGGTTGAGGCAATTAACTTACGGCCTCAATTAACAGCTTTTTGGGGGAATTTGCTGGGATGTATTGACTTTTGAAGAGATTGCTTTTTGCGCATAGAAATATAAACCACCTTTTGGAGAAGGAAAGAGGAGAAAGGTAGATTGGTAACGTCAACCATTGGGAAGAAATTCTTGGGGGAAAAAAACAAACCCCAAACTGTTGAAAAACCAGGTTTCACGTGACTTTCACGTATCCTTGTCTTTTCCCATGAATTGCAGAATGGAATTACGCAACTTGTTTAATTTGCTTAATTTACTCTGTGACAAATTCAGCTGGCCTTTTCTTTGTGACAAATGAGAGTGAGTTATCATAGTGTCCATGACTCCTCCCCCCCCCCGCATCTCCCAATTGTGCAATGCTTTCGGATCTGATCGAAAAATAAATTTTGTTTTTCCATTGGTGCCTGCAGTTACTTATTCAATATGTACTCTTAAAAACAGCAGATTTGTTCATTCATTCTGGGGTGGGGCCGGGAGTTGTCTTAACAGCTGTTTCAGCAAGTCGAATCTTCCAGCACTATTCCAGCACTATTATATATATAATAGTGTCATATAAATGGCTATATATCATAGTGTCATATAAATGACTTTTATGCGCTATTCATTTCTCGCAGCCTGGAGCTAAACCCAGCCTTCAGATTTAACTGGAAAACCCACTTTTTAAAGCTCTTTTTTTACACTTCCATATACTGGTTTTAATTTTAATATTTTTACTTATCCACTGCCCAGAGCCCCTCCGTGGAGGTTTCTAAATTTGATACATAAAAGAAAAAAAACGAATAAATTTACTCTATTTTGCCAGCTTGGAGGACCACAGTTAAAATCTTGCAATTCGTGGTTCAAAATCTTGCAATTTTGATTTATGACAGCAGCGTTCTGATTTTGCAGGATGAGCAAGCGTGCTTCCCCATTGCATAACCAGGGAGCTCTTTACTCTGGCTTCCCTCCTCCAAGGCTCGTACGTATTTTATTTAATTCCCCCCCCCCCCCACCCTCTCTTTCGGCTGCAGCCTGTAGCTTCGTCCCTGCCCACTGCTGAGTGTGCACACGGGGGAGAGATGGGCATAAAAAAAAGCCAAGGGACAAAGGTTAAAAATGCAAAACAATTGATGGGAACTTTTTTTTAAAAAAAATCCAGCTTATTTGGAGAGAAGAAGGCAACATGAAAAACTAGTTTAAAGAAGCTGCGTTGAGTGTTATGGTTGTCTTGTCCCTCGGTCGAGTCTCTAAACTTTGAAGATACTTTTTCTCGGGCAGCATGGATGAACCAAAGGGAGAAGAAAGCTCAGGGGGCATGCGATATCACATGCTTGAAAGGTAATAAGATTGTCGGCTGGACACATTTTTCTGATCTGATTTTAGATGGATCGCTTGGGGGGAGCTTTGATGTAGAAATTTGGACGACTTGTGTTTTCATTGTTGACGGAATTAACATTAAGGGAACTCGAGAACTGATTCCTGGTAGTTTTTACTCTTCATTTTTCTGTGTGGGAACATCCTTGACCTCTGACCACAATGGAGCCCAAAATGTCTGTTGTTTAAGCGAGACATTTGTTAAGTGATTTTGCCTCGTTTTACGACCTCGCTTGCCACTGTTGTTTAAGTGAATCACTGCAGTTGATAAGGGAGCAACCCGGTCGCTAAGTGAACCTGGCTTTCCCCTTGGACTTTGCTCACCTGAAGGTCGCAAAAAGGAGATCACGTGACCTTGGGACCCAGCAGTGGTCGTAAGTATGAGTCAGTTGCCAAGCTTCTGACTTTAGATCACACGATCATGGGGATGCTGCAAAGGTTGTAGCTGTGAAAAGAGGTCATGGGTTACTTTTTTCAGCACCGTGGCAACTTTGAACGGTCACTAAATGAACGGTTGTAAGTCGAGGAATACCTGTATTCGGTTATCTTGCCACTAGAAGGCAAGGGTTTGGAAAGGAAGGTATGGAAAAGTTTTTCAGGCTTTAAAAGAATGTTTAACTTTGCAGTTAAACAGAATAACAGAGTTGGAAGGGACCCTAGAGGTCTTCTAGTCCAACCCCCTCCAAATGGCTGTCTAATCTCTTCTTAAAAACCCACAATGTCTGAAGGCAAGTTGTTCCACTGATTAACTATCCTGTCAGGAAATGTCTCCTTAGTTCTAGATTGGTTCTTCTCCAAAGATTCAGGCTGTCCCTGGTTTTGAAAAACAAGCCACTAAGGCAGAGGGCAAAATCTCTTCCTCCAAGTTTCCCCCTCTGTTTCTAGTTTACTTTTTGTTTCTGAATCGCTTTCCGAGGTGAAATGGCTTTTGTTGTGTGGATTTTTTTGGTTGCCTGGAGCTGCCCTAGAGTCACATATAGGAGATGGGCGGTTATAGAAATTGGAAAAAAAAAAAGATTTCCTCAAATTTAGGGACCATTTGAAACTACAACAACACTGAAAAAATGACTTGGAACTAGTCCTCAAGTTTACAACCATTGCAGCTTCTGCAGGGTCCCATGATAAAAATTCAGGCGCTTGGCAGCCGATAAGCATTTCAGCCTCATGATGGTATGTGGCCGCCATTTGCAATCTCTTCCAACAACCGAAGTCAATGGGAGAAGCCGGATTTGCTTAACGAAGAAGTGTTTCGCTTAACAAATTTAGCAATTCACTTAATAACCTTGGGCAAAGGTTCTTCAAACTTGGCAGGTTTAAGACTTGTGGATTTCAACTCCTAGAATTCCTGAGCTAACATCACTGGAGGAGGAGAAATTCTGGGAGTTGAAGTCCGCAAGTCTTCAAGCTGTCAAGTTTGAAGACCCCTGACCTTGGCAAAAGAGGTCTAAGATTGGGCACAGCTCATTTTTAACAACTGCCTGGCTTAGCCACAGGAAATTCTGATCCCAATTGTGGTCGTAGTTCAAGGACCACCTGCAAATACAGGTAGTCCTCAAGTTACAACAGTTCATCTAGTTACAGCGGCACTGAAAAAGCAACCGTTTTTCACACTTATGACCATTGCAGCATCTTTATGGCCACATGACCAAAATTTGAATGCTTGGCAAGTGGTTCTTATTTAAGACGGTCGCAGTGTCCCAGGGTCATGTGATCCCCTTTTGCGACCTTCTGACAAACAAAGCCAAAGGGGAAGCCAGATTCACTTAACAGCCATGTTATTAACCAAACAATTGCAGCGATTCACTTAACGACTGTCGAGAAAAATTGTAAAATGAAGCAAAACTCACTTAACACATGTCTCACCTAAAAACAAAAACAAAATTCGTCTCAACTGTGGTCATAAGTTGAGGATTACCTGGAAATAAACTCACTCTTCTGATGGTTTCTCTGGACTGGTGCTATTATGGGATACTAATGCTGGAATTCTAGCTGTGTTTATTTAAGCCAGAAGGACACAATTTGGAATTGGCATACTTAATTAATTTCTGAGTTTTAAAAAAGATGTTGCTCTACTTTTGCCATCACTTGGCCATAGCATGGGAATCTGGCATTTGTTCCTGGCTTATAGAATGGTTTGCATTGATGTGAGGATCAAATATTTCCATTTTAGGAGTTTCAATCCCTAGAGTTATTGATATTATCAGCATCTCTGCCCTGGGCAGCTTTGTCTGTGCATCAAAATCATATTTGGACTCCTAACGACTGTTCGGACATGTCCAGGCAGTTTCTTGGCTAGTTTTTCAGAAGTGGTTTGTTATTGCCTCCTTTCTAGGGCTGAGGCAGAGTGGCTGGCCCAAGGCCAACCAGGTAACTTTGTTCCTAAGGCAGGACTAGAACGCATGATCTCCTGTTTTTTGCAGGCAACTGAACTTTGTTTTTCCTTTTGAAGGCATTACCTTGAAGACGTTTCACTTCTCATCCAATGAACGTCTTCAATTCTGACTGAATGGTGGAGAAAGGAACCGAAGAAGCTTCTTGGATGAGAAGCAAAACGTCTTCAACGAAAAACAAAGTCCAGTTGCCTTTTGAAAAAAGCACCTTTGGGACAACCATGACCTGGATGACTAAGAATCTCCATAGACACATGTCTAGGGTTGAAGACAACATCCTCAGAACTTGATTTGTTTCTGGTTCTTCTTCAAAATGCTAATGCATCTCTTAAAATTCTTTCTTTGGGGGGGGGGGGGATATCTTTGAAAGATCATAGTAGGAAACAGTCAATATAAATCATATATTGTGGATTGGATATAGATTTCTTTCACCATCATTTCCTACCAGATTATTTAACATTAGATGCCAAGACCTCAATAAGACCTTGGCTAATAAGCTACAGACCATCATTCTAGAATCCTGTATGGATCTATGCAGAGGTGTATGATTTGATTGCTTATTTGTACCCTATGACTATCGTTAAGTGTTGTACCTTATGATTCTTAACGAATGTATCTTTTCTTTTCATGTACACTGAGAGCATATGCACCAAGACAAATTCCTTGTGTGTCCAATCACACTTAGCCAATAAAGAATTCATTCATTCATTCATTCATTCATTCATCCATCCATCCATTTAGATCAGATATCTCCAAACTTGGCAACTTGAAGACTTGTGGACTTGAATTCCTCAGCCAGCCATACTATGCTGGCTGAGGACTTCTGGGAGTTGAAGTCCACAAGTCTTCAAGTTGCCAAGTTTGAGGACCCCTGATCTAGATTTCTAGTCAAATCTCTGCAACATCTTCTGACAACTCTAAGGGTGTTGTGTTCTTTGTCTTCCCAGGCCAAGCATGTCCGGCCTTCATCTCATGAAACAAGGCCGGGATAGGAAGAAGGTCGATCTACAGAGGGATTTCACAGTTGCATCTCCAGCAGAGTTTGTCACCCGTTTTGGAGGGAACAAAGTTATTGAGAAGGTAAAGAATGGAACTTCCTTTCTTAATGCATAATTGTGTGATTCTTGTTATTTTGAATACACTGGAAACGAAGAAGTCCCATCTCCATGGAATAATTATTTACATTTTTTAAAGTCCCTGTTTAACTTAGAAAGGAATAGAATAGAATTTTTATTTAGAATAGGAATACAACATAAATAGAATAGGAATAGAATAGAATCTTTATTTAGAATAGAATAAAATAGAATAGAATATAAATCTTTATTGAGAATAGAATAGAAATAACTCGATACCCGTGCTTTGCTACAACACTATGTGGTCGAGCTTAGTGTTTTTGGGAGGAAAATAAAGGGGGCGAATTCTGCCTCTGCCTACCAGCATTCATCAGTATTCATCTGGCTAGTGTCCTGTCAGTGTGTGAGAGAATTGAAGGCTGTTTGGCAACTGAAACAATATTTGCTGTGTGAGCAAGAAGGAAACAGCGTGGCTTAGCTCAACTGTTCTATACTAAAGCTGCTTGCCGCTGTGAAACTAAAACTGAAACTGAAACTCCTCTCCTCTGCTTGTGTTTTGCATTTGGAACAAATTTCTTTTCAGGTGGGGAGGGGGAGTAGAACTCCTTAGTATCAGAGTGTGTTAATAATAATAATATACGAAATACTAATGCTCTGATGTTCATTTCGAAAAATCCTTTCTTAGTGAGCATCTAGAAGCCAAGAGGAACATATGTGCCAAATTTCAAGTTTGTAGGCTTTACAGTTCTGGAGATTTTGTGATGATGCGTGAGTGGGATTTCGCTTTCATATATATATAGAGAGAGAGAGAGAGAAGAAGAAGATAGAATAGAATGGAATATTCATTGAGAATAGAATAGAAATCTTTACTGAGAATAGAACAGAACAGAACAGAATAGAATAGATCAAGTGTGATTAGACCCACAAGGAATTTTTTCTCCGGAACATAAGCTCTCAGTGTATATACAAAACAACAAAGTAATAACAAGCATAATAAGGATACTGTAGTATCAGTATTCATAGTATCATTATTCAAATACAAGTAGTCCTTGACTTACAACAGTTCATTTAGTGACCATTCATGGTTGCCCTGGTGCTATAAAAAAGTGATTTACAACCGCTTTTCATCCTTACAACTGTTGCAGCATCCCCAGGGTCACTTGATCAAAATTCAGACGCTTGGCAACAGTCTCATATTTATGACGGTTGCAGTGTCCCGGGGTCACGTGATCGCCATTTACCAACTTCCGACAAGCAGAGTCAACGGGGAGAGCCAGGTCTCCCTTAAGAACCCTGTTACTAACTTAACGGCTTCAGTGATTCATTTAACTATTACAGCACGAAAGTTCCTAAAATAGAGCAAATTCACTTAACAGCTTAGCAACAAAAATTTGGGGCTAACTTGTGGCCATAACCTCTTTCTGTCCATTATTCCGGGCAAGGTGGACATATGTTTCTGTCAGTTGTGGCTGTCCAGATAGTTATTTCCTAGTTTGATGGATGATTGTAAATCTGAACCATTTTATCCTTTCCCCCTCACGTTTCTTCTCTGTCTAGGTTCTCATTGCCAATAATGGGATAGCGGCCGTCAAATGCATGAGGTCCATCAGGCGTTGGTCTTACGAGATGTTCCGGAATGAGCGAGCCATTCGTTTCGTGGTTATGGTGACGCCAGAAGACTTAAAAGCCAATGCAGGTGAGCTTAAAGATTATGCTTTTCATGGTTCCCTCTGGAAAAATGGTAAAATAGGAATAGGAATCGGAATGGAACAGAACAGAATATATGGAATGGAATGGAATGGAATAGGATAGAGTAGAGTACAGTAGAATAGAATAGAATAGAATAGAATAGAATAGAATAGAATAGAATAGATATGGAATAGAATAGAATTAGAATAGAATAGAATAGGATAGGATAGGATAGAATAGAATAGAATAGAATAGAATAGGTAATTGGGAATGGAGTAGAATAGAATAGAAACAGAAACTTTATTGTCACTTTTTTATTGTCACTATTGTCAAATGCTAATCAGCATGCATTAAAATGAAATTTCATTGCCTTCAGCTCTCAAAAGATAACCATTGTGCATATAGGCACATACACACACACACACATATGTGACACAGAGAAACTTCATCATCTAGTTTGGATGTACATATATACATGGTGAAAAAAAGAATCTTGCGAGTTTACCAAACCGATAAGAAGTGGCATTCAGCAGGTTCTGACCAATTCTGGAGAACTGGTAGAGGAAATTTTGAGTAGTTCAGAGAACCAGCAAATCCCACCTCTGACTGGAGATTTTACATTATCCTCCCCTGCCACGGCCACCAAGCCACGCCCACAGAAACTGTAGTAAAAAAATTTGAATCCCACCACTGAAACGGATGGCCTAGGGAACAAAACTGTTACAGAATCTGATAATCCTGCTAGAAATACTTCAAAACCTCCCCCCCTCCGCAGGGGGGAGCAACAGAAACAGACCGTAAAGTGGGTGTGTGGGGTCTCTAACAATGCTTTGAGCTCTAAGCACATAGCGCTTACAAGCAGTATCCTGGATAAGGGAAAGCGAGCTTCCTATAATCTTCTTGGCTGTCCTCACCACTCTCTGTAGGGACTTTTCTATCGGAGGCACTGCGGCCACCCAAACCAAACAGGGATGCAGTTTGTTAAATGCTCTCAATTGGGCCTCTGTTAAAAAGTGGCCGGGACAGAAGGAGAAAGATGTGGCCTCCTCATCCGACGTAGGAAATGGAGATGCTGGTTTGCATGCTTCACTAAGGATGATGTGTGGAGAGACCGATAACTTATGTCCTATTGTAGAAAGTAAAGGTTTGAAACAAGTGAAATCCTTTCTCATGAGGAAGGTGGAGAAAAAATTAAATAAATCAAAAGAAGAACATGTGTTCAAAATACATGCAAGTAGTCCTCAGCTTACAACAGTTCACTTAGGGACCGTTCAAAGTTACAACAGCATTGAAAAAAGTGACACAACTGTTTTTCCACTTCTGACCTTTGTAGCATTCCCACGATCAGTTATCTCATTGGTACCTGACTCATATTTATGACCATTGCTGAGTCCCAAGGTTAGGTGATCACCTTTCGGCGACCTTCTAACAAGCAAAATCAATGGGGAAGCCAGATTCACTTAACAACCGGTTACTAACTTAACTGAAGTGATTCACTTAACAACTGTGGCAAGAGGGGTTGTATAATGGGGCAAAACTCATTTAAACAAATGTCTCACTTAACAACAGAAATCTGGGGCTCAAATTTTGATTGACAGTTGTTAATCTGGTCAGTCACGTGACCAACCTGTTTTTAGGACTTTTTCTGTGGCAGTTGTTAAGCGAACTGGTTCTTAAGTGAATCAATGGCTTGATATGAGTTGATATTGATGATCAATTTTTGGCAAAACTTCTGTAAAACATAGTCATGTGACCACAGGATGCTGCAAATGGCTGTAAATGTGACTGGTCATAAATTGAGGACTAGCTTTACAGGTAGTCCTCGACTTACAACCACAATTGAGCCCAAAATTTATGTTGCTAAGTGAAAATTTCGTTAAGTGAGTTTTGCCCCATTTTATGACTTTTCTTGCCACATTTGTTAAGTGAATCACTGCCGTTATTAAATTATAAACACGGTTGTTAAGTGAATCTGGCTTCACCACTGACTTTGCTTGTCAGAAGGTCTCAAAGTGCTATAGAAAATGAATGGGTGGATGGATGAATGAATGACAGGAAAAATAAATTCTCCTAGGAAGCACCTTGGCTATGTTTGTAGTCATTAACCCCCATTTTTTTTTAAAAAAAAGGAAAATAAATCCCAAAAGAATTGTTCCCTCATGAATCTTAAGCTCAGTTGATACAAACCAGGGTCAAGGGTGACAATGAATTATGTCTCTCAGAGTCGGCTACACTCAGGCAGTGCTGGACATGCTAACTCCCAATAAATCCTTTTTTAAGGTTTGGAAGTTGGGCTCGAGACTCATGATTTAATTGGGGGTAACTGCCGGAATCCTGGAATATTGGTTTTTTAAAAAAAATCTGATTTGGAAAGTTGCCAATTGAATGAGTAGCTCAAACACTCTCTTCTTTTTCATATTTTCAGAGTATATTAAAATGGCTGATCATTATGTTCCGGTCCCTGGAGGTCCAAATAACAATAACTATGCTAACGTGGAACTGATATTGGAGATTGCAAAACGAATACCTGTGCAGGTGAGAAGGTGGAAATAGAGAAGTTTAAAAAACAAAGAATGCTTATTAAGGATGTAGGTGGCCTTATTCTAGCATAGTTGTTTGCGTAGATTTCGCTAAGCATGCTATTCCCTTTGGTTTGTAAACTAGGCTTGATTAAAGCTTAGCATGTTGTGTGGACCAAGCCAATTGTGGTTTATTTAATTCACATAGTTCAAGAGATCATGGTTTAGCTTGTTGCGAATTGGACTTGTGACTGTCTGAGCTTCCTTGATATGTTACAGAAGACAGAAAAGAGGTTGCTTATTGAGTGACCTGATCAGATTTTATAAATGCACCTTTCCCAATCAGTGACCACGCTGGTTGGGAATCCTGGGAGTTGTAGTCCAATGCATCTGGGGAAGTTCAGGATGGAGAAGAATGTCCTCACATCTGGCAAGGCATGGAGAAGAAACCAAGAAGAGGTGGAGAAGCCAGCTGTTAACCAGTGGAATGGATTGCCTCCAGAAGTTGTGAATGCTCCAACACTGGGAGTATTTAAGAGGAGATTGGACAACCATTTGTCTGAAGTGGTTTAGCGTTTCCTGCCTAGGCAGGGGGTTGGACTAGAAGACCTCCAAGGTCCCTTTCCAGCTCTGTTATTCCGTTGTTCTGAGTGGAATATTCTGGGTGAGGATACAGTTGATGTCTTGGAAGCAAGCCAGAATATTCCTAGGTATTTTAGAAGTGTGTGAAATAATTTAGGTGTGTTAATTTAGTGTTATTTATAAGGCATGCATGCTCAAACCTGTTTGGTTTGGAATGGAATGCCAATCCCCAGTGCGTGAAATGTTGTTGGCTTCTGTGCAGTATTGTGAATTATTGTCCAATAATGTGAATTAAACTGGGGGAGAGTTGCAGTCACAAATCTTTCTCTGCAGGTAGTCCTTGATTTATGACTGGTCACTTAACAACCGTTCGAAGTTATGACAAACTTGAAAAAATGTTACATATGACCCATCCTCAAAGTTACAACGGCTGTACCATCTCCACTGTCATATTTTGGACCCTTAGCAGCTGATTCACATTTACGACCAGTTGTAGCATCCTGCGGTCACTTGTTTCTATGTTCTCTGGTCATGTTTTTCTGGCAAAAAATGCCTGTTAAACTGGATTCCGACTTGCATCCATGTGATTCACTTAATGACCATTTGTGACTTGCTTAATGACCACTGTTAAAATGGTTGTAAAATTGAACCTGGTCATGTGGTAACTCGATTTATGACTGCAATGATATACAACCAAAAAATGATGAAAATAGGAAGTAAACAGTGCTTTTTGGCAAAACTGCCGTAAAATACAGTCACGTGACCACTGGATCCTGCAAATGGCTGTAAATGCGACCGGACATAAATTGAGGACTAGCTGTACAGGCAGTCCTTGACTTACAACCACAAGTGAGCCCAGAATTTATGTTGCTAAGTGAGAAATTTAAATTTGCCCCAATTTTATGCTTTTCTTGCCACAGTTGTTAAGTGAATCACTGCAGTTGTTAAGTTATCAACATGGTTGTTAAGTGAATCTGGCTTCCCCATTGTCTCTGCTTGTCAGAAAGTCGCAAAAGAGGATCATATGATACTGCAACCGTCATAAATCCGAGACGGTTGTCAAGCATCCAAATGCAAATCACGTGACCAATAATCGTGAGGGTGAAAAATGACCATAAGTCACTTTTCAGTGCCGTTGTAACTTTGAACGGCCACTAAATGAACAGATGTAAATGAAGGCATACTCTTATTTGTTTTCGATCTCCTCACAAGGAAGTCTGACTTCTGTTTTTCTAATTCCAGGCCGTGTGGGCCGGCTGGGGCCATGCGTCAGAGAACCCCAAGCTTCCAGAACTGCTCCACAAAAACGGCATTGCTTTCATGGGTAAAGTGTTCAAAGTTTGTCTGAAATAGATCCAGTTCAGTGGTGCTATTCTACCAGTTCGGCCTGGGGCGGGTGAACCTGTAGTAAAAAAGTGTTACCATTCGGCTGAACCGGTAGTAAAAAAACAGCTACCGGTTCGGCCAAACTGGTATTTTTTTTTCCTCCCGACGATCAGCTGTTCCGACATCAGCTGTGCAGGGATTCCCGTCGCTGAATTGTTGCTTTGCCCAGGAGGCTTTCTTGAGGCCCAGGAGGCAAAAAAAATGGAGCGAAGGGGGGTGCTGCAAAAGAAGAAGAAGGAGGAGGAGGAGGAGGAGAAGAAGAAGAAGAAGAAGAAGAAGAAGAAGAAGAAGAAGAAGAAGAAGAAGAAGAAGAAGAAGAAGAAGAAGAAGAAGAAGAAGAAGAAGAAGAAACAACGCCCACCCAGGCACATGGCCACGCCCACCTAGCCACACCCCACAGAACTGGTAGTAAAAATATTTGCATCCCACCCCTGATCCAATTAGTTTATTATTGTGAGCGATCTCATGGGGTCCTGCCAGAAGACAAAGCTAGTGTTAGGAATAGAATGGCTCTTCTGATAATTGCATTCTTCTGATGTTCTCTGAAAAGCACAAGAATATTGAACAAGAAAAAAGAAAAGGAGGCAGCTTGAGAAGAACATCCTGAAGAAATAGAACAAAATGAGGAATAAACCACTGTCCCAAAAACGGTGGCTGTAGGCGGAATATCCAGGAAAGCAATTAACACAGTTGAAGTGGACATGATAAGCGGTGTGGCGTTCAGTAAAATCAACGCTAGTCAATGAAAAGAACAATTTTGATCTTGCTGCTGAACCTTTATTTTATTTTTTTATTTTTTCTAGGTCCTCCAAGCCAAGCGATGTGGGCATTAGGAGATAAAATCGCTTCTTCTATAGTGGCACAAACTGCGGGTATCCCTACCCTTCCGTGGAGTGGCAATGGTAAGACATGTTCAAGGTCATGGGGCTATGGACCAAATTCCTTCATATGTTTAAAATAAACCCTGAGAAATGATACGGGATAATAAGCAGATCTGACCCTGGGAAATTTTTTGGTCCTTTCTCAGCTTGGTGGTTTTCTAGCAAATGTTTCATTACCGAACTAGGTAACATCATCAGTGCTAGAGGGAAGGGGACGAGGAAAATTTAGAAAGTGATAAAAAAAAACCAAACTCAAACCCAAAACTAAAAAAGGATTAACTCCAGCTCCCTTCCATAGATACAGGTAGTCCTCAACTTACAACCACAATTGAGCCCAAAATTTCTGTTGTTAAGTGAGTTTTGCCCCATTTTACGACCTTTCTTGCTACAGTCGTTAATAGTGGCAGTTGATAAGTTAGTAAACCAGTCGTTAAGCGAATCTGGCTTCCCCATCGATTTTGCTTCCGAGAAGGTCGCAAAAGGTGATCACCTGAACTCAGGACACAGCAACGGTCATAAATATGAACCAGATGCCAACCATCTGAATTTTAATCACATGATCATGGGAATGCTGCAAAAGTTGTATCTGTGAAAAACAGTCATAAGTCACACTTTTTCAATGCCATTGTAGCTTTGAGTGGTCATTAAACTGTTGTAAGTTGAGGACTACCTGTAAAATTATATAACAAAACACATGCTTGTTTTAGTTTAACAAAAGAAAGACAATAGAAAACTGCAATTATACAGATACAAATATTAAACAATCAAATAATAATTGCAACAGTGCTATATATGATATCGTAATCGCTTAATTTGAAAGGTTTTTAAGGCGAGATTAGAGAACCATTTGTCTGAAATGGTATAGGGCAGTGGTGGCTAACTTTTGGGGGGTCCTGTGCCCAAAACTGTGCGTGCGCTTGCGCGCGCACGCTCACATGCCAGCACCCAGAAGGCAATGCATGCCCCCCACACTCCCTGCGCATACGCGTGCAATTCCTCCCGCCGCCCCCCCTGCCGCTGCTCCCCCCCTTACCCACACTGCGCCTCACAGCTGATTTTTGGCCTCCCAGAGGCTTGAAAAAAAGCCTCTGCAGGCTTGGCAGGATGAATAATAGTCCCGTTTCGTCTCTTCCTGTAAAACCGGAAGTGACCACACGGGCCTATTATTCGTCCTGCCAAGCCTGCAGAGGCTTTTTTCAAGCCTCTGGGAGGCCGAAAAAGGCCTCACACCGGCTGCAAATCAGCTGTGAGGCGCGCGCATGCGCAGTGAGGTAAGTTTGCCTGCGGCTCGCTTGCCGGCCATAGGTTTGCCATCACGGGCATAGGGCTTCCTGTTTGAGCAGGGGTTGGACTAGAAAACCTCCAAGGTCCCTTCCAATTCTGTTATCCCATGGACAATCTTTAGTTGGGTATGGTATATTCTCATCAGGAAGGTGAGAGTCATTTCTGGAAATCTAGCCCAAGCCTAGAAAAAGAAGCTTTGCAATGTCAGGAGATCTGACATTGTACTGCTGAGAGATCTGGCGTAATGTCAGGAGATCTGAGGCGTACTGCTGAGAGCAAACCACACTCCCTTGTAGCACTGATGATGTTACCTAGTTTGGTAATGAAACGTCTGCAAGGAAACCACCAAGCTCAGAGAGCACCAAGGACCCCATAGTTCAATCCTGAGCTACAAATATTCTCTTCTGTCAAGATTTGATCCTGCTTAACGTTTCAAGATCGGCTCAATTTGGCTGGATGGTAGCCCTTAGAAATCGCTTCCATTCAAGGCAACAGGATTCGGCGGTATGGATTTTGGTTCATTCTAGACTTCTGGGATACGAAGAGTTGGCTCTTTTTCTGCCTGGAGAGAAAATTCTCCAACCGTGGATGTAACCCATTTTCCCCTGCTCTTTCTTTTCTCTTAAAAAATAAAAAATAAATTAGTTTTGACTCACAGCCAGACAAATGACTCCATAAAGTTCAAATGCTGGTGATGAAATTTATATTCAGATATGAACTCATGTCAGGCGGTGGCTTTTGAAATCTGGAGACCTGATTTTGCAACTAATTAGGAAAGAATTGAACAGGGTAAGGAGGTTCATTGCAATCCCTTTCTGGCATGCAATAGCATTTAGGAATGGTTTGGAGGAGGCTGGGGAGATAAGTTCTTTCTGGGAGATGAAGGGCAGGATCGCTTCTGATTTCGTCGCTATGTGGAGTGAATTGCATTGACTGGCTAAGGAGAGAATTTTCCTGCAACTTGAAATGGAGTATTTAGCTTCGGGCTCCTCGGTCCCTTTTTAAATGCAGGTAGTCCTCAACTTACAGCCACAATTGAGCCCAAAATGTCTGTTATTAAGTGAAACATTTTGTTAAGTGAGTTTTGCCCCATTGCACGACCTTGTCATAGTGATTAAGTGAAAGATTGCAGTTGTTAAGTTAGTAACACACTGGATAAATGAATCCGGCTTTCCCATTGACTTTACTCAGTAGAAGGTCACAAAAGGGGATCGCATGACCTCGGGATATTGCAACTGTCATAAATGTTAGTTGGTTGCCAAGCGTCTGGATTTTGATTACATGACCATGGGGAATCCCTGCAGTGGTCGTAAGTGTGAAAAATGGTCATAGGTCACTTTGTTCAGTGACATAGCAATAGCCATAGCAACTTATATACCTCTTTACAGTGCTTTACAGCCAGCTCTAAGCGGTTTATACAGTCAGCATCTTTCCCCCAACAATTTTGGATCCTCATTTTACCGACCTAGGAAGGATGGAAGGCTGAGTCAACCTTGAACCAGTCAGGATAAAACTCCTAGCAGTTAGACTGCAATAGTTAGAATGCACTTATTATATACCACTTTATAGTGCTTTACAGCCCTCTCTAAGCTGTTTATAGAGTCAACCATATTGCCCCCAACAATTTTGGATTCTCATTTTAGCCACCTCGGAAGGATGGAAGGCTGAGTTAACCTTGAGCCTGGTGAGATTTGAATTGCAAAAATTGCAGTCAGCCAGCAGTCAGCAGAAGTAGCCTGCAGTACTGCACTCTAACCACTGGGCCACCGCAGCTCCTTTATAACTTTGAACGGTCACTAAACAAACAGTTGTAAATTGAAGACTACCTGTATTGCCAATTCAGTCAGGATGGTCCTTCCCAACCCTTTTCCTTCCTTACCCAAATAGCTGATCAGAAAGTCCTTTTTACCCAATGTAGATAAAACATGTTATCAATTTAAATGTCCTAGCTGTGATTGGGTAATGGGTTTGTGTGTCATTGCTCAAAAGAAAAACCACTTAGGAAATGTTCCTTTAAAGAACAATATTTGTAGTTCAGGGTTGAAATGAGGGGGTCCTTGGTGCTCTTTGAGCTTGGTTGTTTTCTTGCAGACATTTTATTGCCAGACTAGGTAATATTATGTAATGTGGGATTTACTCTCAGTTTAGGATAGACTTGGAAGGGACCTTGGAGGTCTTCTAGTCCAACCCCCTGCCTAGGCAGGAAATCCTAAACCACTACAGACAAATGGCTATCCCACATCTTTTTTAAAACTTCCAGTGTTGGAGAACTCACAACTTCTGGTGGCAAGTTGTTCCACTGGTTAATTGTTCTCACTCTCAGGAATTTTCTCCTCATTTCCAGGTTGCTTCTCTCCTTGATGAGTTTCCTCCCCTTGCTTCTTGTCCTGCCTTCAGGGGCTTTGGAGAATAGCTTGACTCCCTGTCAGGCTACAGAACTTTTCTCATTCACTCAATTAGAATGAACTTCTGAAAACGTATCAAAACGTATCCAAAGGAATCCTTTATTGAGACGAGACAATTCATGTAGGAGTTCAAAGCAGCGTCTGAGGGAAAAATAAGGGAGTTTAGAACCCCTCCCCTTATCTCGATG